TCACACACTGACAGCCCCAATGCAGAGCCCTGCAATTCACCCTCGCTGTTCTTAGGAGTCACTCYGAGGGCATGAAATCACTCAGAAATTCATCCTTTCATGCAGAGCTTTGAGAGAGACCCCAAATCTCTCTGAACTCCCTCTGGCAGAGCTTTTCCAGCACGTCCAAGCCCTTTCTGAGGTGTCCCAATTTTAGAGGGTTACAAGTGTGGGAACTTTAGAGGRAACAAGAGTGTTCCTGCACTTGGGAACAATCAGCACGGGGCAGACAGGTTTAGTCTGTGTCCATGGATTTACAGAGCCTCAGAAGGGTTTGGGTTTTGGGTTTTTGTCCCACTGTCCCAGGTGATCCCAGCCCCAATGTCCAGCGGGGTTGGTTCATCCACAGCCTGACAGAGCAGATATAAACAATGGACAGACACCTCTGCCCTGGAACTGTCACTCCTGTGGCCCTGAGCCCTCAGATTGTCACACACACCACATTCCAAGGGGGTTTTTCCACTGGCTGTGTGAGAGCAGCCTTGGCACCCTGAGAAAATTGAAACAAAAGCTGAAATCCCCGAGAATGACAAGAGTTTCCAGCAGTTCCAAAGCTGCCACGCTCCAAACCAAGAACAATGAGGGAATAATTGGAACAGATGGCAATGCTCACACAGGGTGCAGCCATTGGAAATGCAGATGTGGGAAATGTATTTATGTTTCTTGCGTGAGAAGTGCGGCTTTTATTTTATTTATTTTTTTTTTTCTGAAGGAAAACGTGCAAAATTCAGGGGAATAGATATCCCCAAGCCCTGGGGAATAATTCAGTACCATCAAACACTTCCTAAACCTCATCACTACAGTGTCAGTGCCTGTTCTGGTGCAGGTAATAGGGAGGGAAATGAAGCTGCGACACCGAATTTCCTGTGATGTTTTGGTGCATGAGGACATGGGAGTGAGGTTTTTTCCAAAATGCCTGTGTGTGATCTTTCCAAGCGATCTCTGGATTCTGGCAATTTTTTTGTACAAATCACAATTTAAAAGGCTCGTCCACACGGGGTCCTGACAGGCTGGGGGTGCCTGAGGTGGATTTTTAGGTGTAAACGAGAATTGAAAGGGTCTGGGTGCCCGTGGGCTCCTCCCATAAACAGCAAAACCCAACAGGGGCCCGAGGAAGGGAAAGGGATGTGGAAATTCTCCGAGGGCGCTCCCAGCTCATCCAAATGGGATGTGAGGTGATGCCTTAGCAGGAAAACCCTCTGCCAAGGCTTAAAAAAACCTGTGTCAGGAAAATTAATCCACAAGCACCRGAGGTTTATGTCCARAAAGGAGACAGARGAGTCCCGCARCTTTATTCRTGAATAAARGGAGAGGTCATGGGCATTTCCCATGGGGTCTCTCAAATTCATAGAGGACGCAGTTCCCTCTTTTATCCCAATTTCCCGGCTGCAGTTCCCTCTCTGTTTCCCCATTGCTGAGGTACTTGAGAGGTACAGGCTCCCCAAAACACCTGATGAAACCCCCCTTCTATCATCCATTGCCCCCTGCCCTTCAGTTTCCATTTCTGTGTCTCTGCTCTTGTAGTTTATTTACATAAATAAGTCATAGATAAGTCAATCAGTGAAATTCCTATGGAAATCCTTCCCACTGTTTCTTTTTTACCTCCCAGTATCAGCCTTAAGCCTTATCTCACCCCAGAGCCCAGAGTCAGAGTTTGTTTGTAAAGACATTTCCTTCTCCTTTCACCTGAGAATGAATTCTGAAATAACCGCACAGCCGAGCCTTCTGTTCCCGGTGCGCCCAGGGCAGACAGCAGCAGATATTCCCATTCCCCAYATCCATCCCTGAGAAAAGCAGCTGGAATTACCCATCCCGGGCTGAAAGAGCCCCGAGGGTGGCAGCTCTCCCTGGCATCCCTGTCACCCGCGCTGTCCCCGCAGGGTCCCCGTACCGGGACAAGATCACCATCGCCATCCTGCAGCTGCAGGAGGAGGGCAAGCTGCACATGATGAAGGAGAAGTGGTGGAGAGGGAACGGCTGTCCCGAGGAGGACAGCAAAGAAGCCAGYGCTCTGGGAGTGGAGAACATCGGCGGCATCTTCATCGTGCTGGCGGCMGGGCTGGTGCTCTCCGTGTTCGTGGCCATCGGAGAGTTCATCTACAAATCGCGCAAGAACAGCGACATCGAGCAGGTGAGAGAGCCCTGGGATGGGCAGGGGAGCTTTCCGGGCTGGGGGGTCACGGTGTTCCGGGTTATAATGAGAGAGAATTTATTTATTAATGAGAGCGGATTTATTTATTAATGAGAGCGGGGGAGTGCCCGGAAAACGGCCCGATCGGTGCTGCTTAGCGCAGCAAGGACAATTAATTCCTGAACAGTTTCTGCTTGAACTTCAGCACTTGAGGCATGAATTACTCTGGAAAGGAGCACAGCACAGCCGGGCTGTTGGGTTTTGTTTTTTTTTTTTTTTATTCGGCACCAACACGAGCCCGTTGATGACACAGGAAAGCGCATCCAAATCCCAAATGGCGTTTTCCTCTCGCTCGGGAAAGTGTCTCCGTGGTTTAAAAGCTGTGCTGGAGGATGCACTCGATGCAGAGGTGATGGATGCCCCCGTAAAGAGAGATTATGGAGCCAAAGAAATGCCGGTGACGGCTCCGCTGGAGTGTAAGGAGCAATTTAGAGGGGCAGAGGGAAAACAAAGGAAGTGCTGAGTGTAAATCACGCCCTGAGCACCGGAGAGGTTTGTGAGAAAGGATCGGTCATTAAAACCGAGTGTAAACACTCATTTGGAGAACCGCCAGCCCTGTGAACGGGGCAGGGCTGAGCAGGGACCGGGGCAGAGCTCCTGGAGCTGCCCCGGGGAGTCTGTTCTGGCTCCTCTTTGCTCCAGCAGGGATTTCCCGAGGGAAAAGGGGACCCCAGGACCAGAGGCGGCCCCAAAATCCCCCAAAGTTCCTATTTCCTCCCTCCAGACTCCCACACGTCAGGCAGCTGCCTCGGAGAGCGTTGTTTCAGTTCCCTCCGCACTTTTAGGTGGGATTTTTTCCATGTGGGATTCCCCCTCCCCATCCCAGGTTCAGTCCTGCAAGGATGGTGTCAGAAATGCCAGAAATGTGGAGGCAAAGGGGCTCCCCGAGGGCAGCGGGGATGGGTGTGAGGAGAAGGAAACACTTGGAACTCGCAGTTTAAAATAAAATCAACGCCACTGCCCACAAAAAGCGGATGCAGCTCAAGGAGCAGCCCCGGGACGTGTCAAAATGCCCCTGGTTTGGGATGAGGCAGAGATAAAGGATTAACGTGTTTGCATCTATTGCAGCTTTCCAGTTGGTGCTTTAGCCCGTTTTAGCGCAAAATGCACAAAAAATGAATTGGTATCTTTGTTTGGTTCGTGTCTCGGGAGACGTTTTATTCAAATACATTTTGGAGAGCAGTTGCAGCTAATTAAAATATTTAGCATGATTAAAATGTTCAGTTGAAGCGCTAACGTGGTGCAGAACATCCTGGAAGCTTTTCAGGAGTCTGTGGAGGGAGAACTAAAGCTTTAGGGCGGGAGCGTTAATTTACTGAGCAAAATGTGGGGTGAATAACAGAGCTCAGGGTTCACACAGCCCCGTTCCTGTTTAATAATTAAGATCATTAAGTGCGTTAATGTGGCACTTTAATCCCGCTTCTCTTGGTTTCACAGAGAGCCCAATGCCGCTGATTCCAGTGGCTCTCGCTGCTTTCTCCGGGATTGTTTTCTCTTTTCCCCGCCGAAAGCAGCAGCTCAGACGGGAAATGTTGTGCAGGGTGTGTTATCACCTATTTAATCCAAATTTAATTGGATTGTGCAGGGTGTGTTATCACCTATCTAACCCAAAGCATCGCTGAATTCAGCCTGTGACTTTTGTGTTTTCCATAGCTGGAGTCTTTTTTTTTTTTTTATTATTTAAACGGTTTTTACTCATTCTCATGCTTGTTTTCAGTTTGTTTTGCTCGGYTCCTTTATTCACTGTCTCCATTTCTCTTCTCTTGCATGCAAGGCCTTTTGTTTCTTTTACGGACTGCAGTGTAAGCAACCCCACCCGTCCAACTCCACCTCTGGCACCACCTTATCCACGGAGTTAGACTGTGGCAAGTTAATCCGGGAGGAGCGAGGGGTCCGGGCTCAGCCCTCCATCCACACGGTGTAGTCAGGACAGGACCAAGGTGTGTGCGGGGAGGGCTCAGCCTCAAAAWTGGGGTTAAATAAATGATCAGAGCCCAGAAATGGGGGCGGTTTAAATGATTGTGGCGGGGAATATCGGCCCCAGGGCGGGCAGGGAGCTCAGCTCAGCGCAGGAGCCTCTCAGAGCTATGGCAGGGTCTCATGTGCCATTGTCACCTTTGTGACATTGTCACCATTGTCAATGTGTCATTGCCCGGGGGCATTCACCTGATTCAGGTAAGGAAAACCATTTCTCTCATTCTCATTTCCCTCATTCTCATTTCCCTCATTCTCATTTCCCTCATTCTCATTTCCCCTCTCCAACCCAAACCTCATCACCAAAGGCAGGAGGAACATTCAGCCTGCTCCAAACACCCACAGGGTTCGCTCACCTTCCCCACCCCAGAACAAACATCTCCCGCTCCCCGGGTCAATATTTAATGGATTTTAATTCCCGAGTTTAAAATTCATCAGAGCCCGCAATCAGATCCATTTTGTAACCATTAAGAACAGATTCAACAAGAGAACCCTGAGGCTGCACCAGCGCAGATCATCAACAGAGCGGCTCCTCTGCCGTGTTCGAGCAGTTCAGCAAAATCAGGGGCACAGCGGGACAAATGGATGTGGTTTTGTCACCAAAAAAAAACAGATGTCAGCGATGTGAGCTCTACAAAGTGCACAGGAATGCCACAGGGATGTCGTGACCTGCACAAACGTTTCCAAAACCTTTTACCCGCATTCCATCCCATCCCACATTCCCACAGCGTCACCAGCTCATCCCCCTCTCCTATTTTATGTTTTCATTTTATGTTTTATGTTTTCCTGCCCACTGGAGTCCCTGCTCATCAAACCAGACCCTGCTGTGTTTTCCTGGGGGCCGTTCCTGCTCTCTGCACCCCAAGTGCTGCCCCTGGAATGGTTTATGTCAGGAAAACAGGAGAACACGGTGCCCTGGGAT